AAAAGGTGACAAGCAATTGTGGTCCAGTAGTGATGCTCCTGTCTCGTGTTTGTTTCAAAATAAAGTGATATCTGCTTAAGATTATGGTAATTTCTGAAGAACCTCCATTAAGCGGCCACTTGCCGGTACCTCACTAGTCTGCTACACAGCCGTTTTTATTGTCGTCACGCAATGCGTTGCGTGACGACACTAAAAACGGCTGTTAGCAGACTAGTACCTCACCGGTGACCGCTTAATGGAGGTTGAACTGCAGTTAGTCCTGTGGGTAATGAAGCTCACGTTAGCTTGTGTCTTATCTCAAGGGAGAACCGTTGGAAGAAGAGAGGTATCGCACTGACACCTACCAAGTTTGGTATTGCATTTACTGCTACATTTATGAACCAGGTATGAAGTCGCTTTAAGCCTCACAGAATGCCTTTTTGGCCACAAAGATAAAAAACAATTTCTCTTGATACGGAGTCGGCCCTCAAAACGTCCTTGTCCTAAGCGAACTTTTTGGCACTCTGTCACGCTTGCGCGAAACCCTAAGAAGCTTTTCGACGTTTAAGACTACCTAGGAGCATAATCTAATATTTCATAGTTAAATGGACGTTTTATCAACGAAAGACTCCATTATTGAAGTCCTTTCTGGCGCAGAGAATCTTTTGAATGAATGCTCGGGAATTCCATTAAGGACTATAACTAGCGCCCAGATAGCATGAGATAATTGTCAGCCCTTCTGTTCGGTGGCTAACTGCAACGCAGGGTTTTTTCCTCAAAATCAGTTTTTAAGAGCGCGAAGCCTCACACGCCCCAGTCTCACTCTCCGTTTTCACCCTCCCTGTACGACTTTCGTTTCACCGCTCGCATGTTTTGAACTACGCAAAAACGGACTGTTTTGCAGTCTAGTTCGGTGCAAGTTTTGTTGCTTCTTGCGCAAAGCTGTAAGGAATGGAATAAGTGGTTTACGTACTCTGCAGTCATATGAACACAGACCTCAAACATTGTCTTCGAATATGGATATTTAAACATTTTTGTATTTGTTTATTCATTCTAGGCTGGAGCCTTAGTTCATGTTTATACAGACGGATCAGTTCTTGTCACTCACGGAGGAACAGAAATGGGACAAGGACTACACACTAAAATGGTGCAGGTTAGTGAAAAATGGATACTAAAGAGATGCAAGAAATGCTTGGTCATGGGTAAAACCACTGACCGCTATTGTGTACGGCATCAAAAAATCGTAAACAAAGGCTTAAGAATCGCTTTTGACTTATCAAATTTCATACTTTTTGGAATTAAAAGAACTGAGGAACTTAAAAATATTCACCAAAAACTCTAAAATTACACCAGATTTCAATGAATCCTATAGTTTTTTCTTCACCTCGAGAAAAATGCGTAGTATTGTAGCTGGGCCTGCTGTTTACATAATTTCCGGCGTTTGACACTGGTCACAGCTTGTCATTTTTTTCTTGAAAGTGGTCAACTCGTGGGTTCTTAATTGATTTTCCCTCCTTGGCCTTTTGTAGGTAGCTTCTCGTTGTTTTGGCATTCCAGTCTCCAAGATTCACATCACAGAAACAAGCACCAGCACAGTGGCCAATACGTCACCCACAGCTGCCTCGGCATCCTCAGATCTCAATGGCATGGCGGTCAAGGTCAGCTAACCTGTGTGCTATATGTTTATATTTCTGGCAGCTTCCCTCTTAACAGTGGTCTTCGTAATGCAATATAATGATTGTCAAGTGTAATTTATTCTACACTATACTTTTTTTAAACGTTTAACGACACCTTGCTTGTTGGAAGTATGACTTGGCCTCTTCTTTTTAAGTGTTGTGCGAGGAAAATCTCAGACAAATCCTTTCCTTTCGCTCAACAGCTGTTAACACTGTTTCTTTTTTTTCGCACATTTCGTTGGGCGTGTCGCTTTGAATGGCTGCTTCCTCTTGAAAAAAGTTTGGAGCAAGTATAAACATGAACCTACCGGTAGTGCAAGACGCTTTAATATGTGCGTGCCCGCATCTGCTGTGAATAAGTGCATGCGTTTGGGGATAATGTCTTAAATTTTCTACTGTAATAGGGGCAATACTGTTTGATATGGTTTTGCAGATTGCATGTGAGCAGATACTGGAGCGGTTAAAACCTTATCAAATGAAGAATCCTAAAGGAAATTGGGAAGACTGGGTAAGTAAATCAATGGAGACATGCTCATCCCCTAGTCAGGCCTTTAATTTGTTCACCATTTTGTTCCGCCGCCAGTTGGCCATCGTTCTGTTGGTCGATAAGTCGGTGATTGGCTCAGTTAGTTCATATTTATCATACAATTAGCCATTTTTTGTTATTGCTTAACTTGCGTCAAGTTTATGATGACAAAAAATCATGTAATGGTTTTTCATTAACAGTTTCTTTGTCGTTGACTAGGTTCGCTCGGCCTACTTTGATCGAGTCAATCTCTCTGCTAATGGATTTTACAAGTAAGAAAGTAAAAGTGTTGCGTTTATTATTTTTCTAATTGTTTATTTTGTGCGCAAGAAATGTCAATTCACGCAGACCCACGGACAGTTAATTCAAAATCGGAAGTAAGAGAGTTTCCATGGACAATTCACAAAAATACTGACCGTAGTGAAGAAACGCTGTGAAGTTAAGGGATTCCTGAATACAGAGCTAAATATCTTAGGGTTTTACGTGTATAGCTTTGTACAGGGGTCGGGGATAGACCAAATATTAAAATATTGGTATTGTGTGAAGAATAGTGCTGGAGTTCACTAACACTGGATCGAGGGTTGTGTAGCGAAATCCTTTGACATACAAATATTGGACTCGACAGCAATCTAGTTCCAGTTCGTTACATATGGTTCCTAGGCGTATATTTTTGTGGCGCCTGCGTTTTGTCTCTGTTCTGACTGAAATCACTATGGCTAACCTGTAATGATTTGTGTTACTGATTGTAGTAGAGAAATTTCAGCTCGCGTCTTGTTAAGGTATAGTGGCAACGCTTTTTTGCTGCAGTTTCAGTTAAACGCAGCTTTGTTTGTTTGCTACCTCACAGAACGCCGGATTTAGGATATGACTGGAAGACCAACACAGGCAGAGTTTTTAACTACTTCTGTTTTGGAGCCGCTTGCTCGGAAGTGGAAATCGACTGCCTCACAGGAGATCACCAGGTAGGAAAGCTACTGTCGCGCCGTGTTGAGAATGCTACGTCACATTAATTGTCAAGTGCTGTTAAGTAAGCTAGGTCGTAAACATCGGGTACATTATTTTGAGACCGCCATGCAACACAAGATTGTCAAGCGTTGTGAAATTAACGACATTGCTTGTTTACGCGACGAGGTATCGTACTATGTGAAGAGGTTAACTGATCGTCACAATTTTAGTCCCGGAGTTACTTTCCTGTACGTGTCACTCCTGTAGTTATACCTATAACTTTTAAGTTTTCTGTAAAATGCTGGACCTTTTTTGCATGGACGAGGTTGAGCAAAATATTGGGATTTCTACTGGCAAGCAAATTGACTGTTATTTATTCAGATTTGTCCAACAGGTTCTTCGCACAGACATAGTGATGGATGTTGGCAACAGTCTTAATCCGGCTATCGACATTGGGCAGGTCAGACTTTTTAGTAGTCTTGGTCCCCGCGAAAATACGTCAGTCGACATACGTTTTTCTTAAGAGCATAGACCTTTGTCACGCGGCGGTCATTTTGTCTCAAGAGATTTAAAAAGCTTTGGTTATGCACGGCTAGTCTCGTAGAGAGAACGAGGCTAGCCGTGCATAAACAAGGTTTATTCTCCAAGTTTTTAAGGCACTACCTACGTCACGAGAAAATGCGAGCTTCCCTTCCCTACTCCCCCAGGTAATGTTTGATTTGGGATGGGATGGGGAATGAAGATGGTTCTTGATTGGTTTGTTCTCCGAAAGATACCGCATGTCACAAAAGTACCTCAAAAAATTTGTCGCTGATTTTCAACCATTTGTTTTCAATTTTAATGTTATTCTTTCCAGGTTGAAGGTGGCTTTGTCCAAGGACTAGGTTTGTTTACCATCGAAGAAATACGCTACTCTCAGACTGGCACGCCGTGGACCACAGGGCCTGGAGCCTACAAGATTCCCGGATTTGCTGACATTCCAGTGGAATTTTATGTTCATTTATTGCGGAGTGCACCGAACGAAAAAGCGGTTTTTTCTTCAAAAGTACGAAGAATCTTCATTGATGTTTAAACGCTTCCTTTTCAGTTCATTGTCTAACATTTTAATCGCCCTAAGTCTATGTGGATTATTATCCTTCTCCGGCTAGGCCCGTTTTCCCTAGAGATAGTTCAATTTATCGCAGGATTGAGTCAGTTAAGCGAAGTTTTTTTCCCCAGGAACATTTTTGAAACCGCATATTTTTTACGCGAATAATTCGTGTGAACGAGGCCTTAAACGATCCGCAGATCTGTTTAAAAAAGATGCGGTTTTGGTGTGCGTATTGACTGGTATCTTTTGAACGAAAGGCTGATTCTCGTAAAAAAAAAACGGATTGGTGTGGATGGTGCCCTATTCTGTAGATAAGGTATTGGCAGGGTTCGCAAATACGCCAAATTTGGCGTATTTTACGCCAAAATTGTTGAGATGACTCCACAGAGGTTACGGAGGGAGTCACTTCGACTCCAGAAATTTTCGGTAACAAACAGGGAACCACTTCGACTCCAGAAATTTTCGGTAACAAACACAGTTTTGTCCTTACCAACAAATACAATTTACGTTAATTGTAAACGCTGTAAACCTTAATTAAATCATCAAAATTAAAGAATTATACCGCACGACAAAGCACAAAGAGGGTAAATTACATTACTCGATGACCGCCTTCCCGCCATCATGGATTTGAGCTTTCCAGGTCAGCGGACCGCCACAGCTACTTCGTGTATCCCTCACGATAGTGTATACATGCCAGGACCACTGCTGGAAAGTCTGAAGATGGCTTTTTTCGTTGTGATACTTGACTCCAAATATTCCAAAATGACTCCAAAATTTGTGAAGCAGAAGTCACAGTAACTCCACTCATCAATAAAATTTGCAAACCCTGTATTGGTAAATCCTCGCTCCGATTAGCTTCTTCTTCGAAGTAGGGTAACATTTTATAGGGTTGTATGGCATAAAAGAAATCTTCTGGAGGCGAAAAAAGACTTGGGAAAAATACATTGAATCTAATATCTTCTGATAACAGTCACATTTTATTTTCAGGCCGTCGGCGAGCCTCCTTTGTTCCTAGCCTCTTCAGTATTTTACGCTATTAAAGATGCCATCATGTTCGCAAGGTTAGAAGTCTTCTTTATTAGAGCCCTAAAACTGAAACTCTCTCTTATCTACCCTGAAACAAATTCCCTTGTTTAATGCTTTGCATCGTCCTGTCACTTTTTTTCCCCATGTTTTTCGTTTTTTGAATCTTGTATTTTATAAATTTTATGTTATTATAATGGAGAGCAGTGACAGATAGGACGAAACTCTGTTTTCTTTTTTAGCCGCAAATTTTGTTCATCCTTTTGTTCTTTCTTCCTTTCTTCCTTCCAGTTTTTTCTTTCTTTCGTTCCTTTTTCCTTCTTTATTTCATATTTATTTATTTCCAGTTTGTCATGTATTTATTTATGTATTATTCCACAAGTATTTACTTTAATTTAGTATTTACGTGGTGAATCCATGCAGCTGGTTGCATTTTGACTGTAAAAATTTTGTTTTACTTCTACTCATTTTTAGGCGCGAATCAGGTGTTGAAGGAGTGTTTAGACTGGACAGTCCAGCTACTAGTGAACGCATCAGGATGGCTTGTGTTGATGAATTTACTAAGCAGGTAAAAAAGTTTATTTTTTGCTTTCACCACCAAGAAAGTGAACTGGAGGCAGGAGGCGAATAGAACTTTTTCACATCACGTTATGGCGACCATTTTGGTGTTTAAAAACAGTGAAACAGCGGCCATATTGGTGTACCAAGACAGTCCTTTTCTTCTGTAAGCGCTTTCTTTTATTCCAAGAAATTGGTATAGATGCTGGCCACGTGAGTGGAACCGCTCTTTGCTCTCACGACCGCGTCTCCCTTGGTCCCACCCCACGAAGGGACAGATCGAACTACTTAATACCATCATTAACAATTATTGGACGAGGTTGAGCAAAATATCGTGATTTGTCAGTAGCGAGCAGATCAATTATTTGCCGAAGGCGAAGGCTGAGGCAATAATTGATCTGCGATTACATAACAATGCCCCTATCGCTGAAAACAATGGAAGTGAAGATTTAAGGGGACCAGTGAAATAAAAGGTTTAGAACGGTGCAGGTCTACTGTATTTTCAAGCACTTAGTGTGATCGGTTCATGCGATTTGTATATACAATCTTTAGGCTGGCCAATTTTTTTTTCCCGATCACTAATTTATTTTCTCTGGGGACCATTTACTTTTACAGAAGCGGTTAACGCCTACTACTGGTTTCACAACAGGTTTCTTTAAGCCATGTTAAGGTTGCGCTTCTGGACAATTTGCATTACACACTATAGGGCTGTTTATGGCGAGCCAATTTGGCCCCAGTTTCTTACTCTTTCCAGCACAAATTGGTAATAGTCGATTAAAGAAGCATTAAAACAATCCTAAAGTGCAATTCGAAACCGACAGCCACACCGATACAGTCTCACGTGTGCAAATTCGACAAGGCCAATTCATTTATTGACAAAGTTTGAGTGAATTCATTTACAGCGTACGCGTATAGCCGTTTCACTTGTCCGTTGAAGTTTTCTAACGTTTTGAGGTTAAAAAAAGTATTTCCAGGCAAATGCGACTGCTATGGGTTTGCTGCAAATAAATCCACCATGAAAACGGATTCGTGTGGGATCACCTCGGAGATCTCATGTACAGAACTTTTCTCATATGGCTTTCGAGCATTTTTGCTGGTCCATCTGTAGTTTTACCGTCCAAGAAGTACTGTAATTTTATTACCAGGATTTTTTCAAAACCCGACATATCGCAACATATTATGCCGAAAAATTGCTTGTTATCTAGCGACTTGATGATAAACATTGTTTTCGTTTTTTTCTTCTTCGCAGTTCACTGCCCTTGCAAATCCAGCCGTAAAAGACTTCAACGTGTACCCATGAAAATGAAAGAAACCGTGACACTTTTCTATAACTAATAATTACAAAATAATGCAAAAGTTTCATGAACTTGTTAGAAGATTTTCTGATAAACTGTTGCGTTGTTTGTTGTTTTTGTTTGGGAAAGCAAACATCGTGCATCGTGTTTTGAAGCAAGTAGAAGGATTGTCTTCCCACGTGTGGCGCGAGTTTTTCGTTTTCCCGCCATTGACACTGGAATTTTTGGTCTCAAGCGTTCTCAGTATGTGGTTGCATAGTTTTCCTTTCGAGTTATGATTGGTTGGTTGCTTTGGCTGTGTTTTGTGGTCAAGTCTAATGCTGTTAGGTACGACGGTGATAAGAAAGTCTTTTTAACAAGTAAATAGGGGAGTAAAATGATTTTGGCGGGCATATGGTTTATTTGTTGCTCGATTAGTTCGCTTTGAGCGACATCAATGAACTATATATACCCCCTGAAAAGAGATAAAGTATCTTTTGTCAACAAACGTCCTCTAGCGTCCTGATATTATAGGATACCTGTAGATAGGAACAGATTACAGTATAATAGTGACAGATTATACATTCGCTTTAAATATACTTTTATGTATGATATAAGGGATATATTTATCAAAATAATGTTTTACAATAACTGAGCGTATCCTCACGCGCTGATTGGTCGAGAGCTACGGTCTATGAGAGTAGAGACCATGGAAATGACGAAACATGTGACGCAGTGCCGGTTGTTTTATTCGCAGTAAACTAAAAATAAATGTTATTGTAAAATACAAATCGACCACAATTTTCCAATCGTCTACACTCTTAAAGACCATACAAATGACGCCATAAAATGTTTAAAACTTTGCAGTGAAACCACTCGCCGTTTCACTTGAGTTCAGGTTCTTTGAGAAAGTACGCATACTTGAGAAGTACATACTTATATATTAATTTTAATGCTATTTTTTTGGAATGGAATCTCACATATATATACGTACGAATTTTAACACTCACATTTCACCTTATTAAATAAACGAACCGTAATAACGAAACTTTAGTTTTTCTTTGCTATTTCCCTTTACATGAATAAATGAATCGTTTAATTTGTCCTTGACTTTAGGGACTTGGGGGAGGTGCTGTTATTCAAATGTATAGTACCACTAATTTCTTATGATTTTTTCTTATGATTGCGATGTTTAATTTGTTCCAAGGTTTTTTTTTTTACTTTAACCAATAATAAATAAATGAAAACCTCCGGCCGCGCATTTAAAACTCAACCTTAAACTCTAAACCGTTTACCACTGGGTCAATGGAAAGCTTGGCTTCCATGTAATCGTCTCGATTTTAAGGATCCACTCAAATGTTTGGGACAACTGGAACGAGTCATTCGGACGATTAGTGAAACCACAATCCTGAACAAAATAAACTAGAAATTAAGACCCCTCCTCCCCCTCCCCCGAAATCAATGAGAAAATAGAGAGATTAAGTTTCACGTTTACGCCAAACGGCAAACGTGAATTTGTACCACGTGACCAAGTTTTCCCCTTATTTTTCGTTTACTGTTTATTGCTTCTACACAAAAGTAGGTAAATTTATGCTAGTTTTATCCAAAAGAATCGTTCTGGACTGTTTTTATCTGCTTATTTTCTATTTTGAGAAATTCTCAACTGACGTTTGCCGTTTGCCGAGTGCCGTAAACGTGAATCTTAATCTCTCTAATGTCGCTTTTTGGCCTTTCGGGCGGCTTAATCCTTGAGTTGGGGATAGGGAAGGTTTGTTTCCATTTTGTTCTGTTCATTCCAAGATTGCAGCCTTCATAAGGACTTCAGTTGTATATAGGCGATCGCGTTATACAGCCAGGCGTCCCAGGCGCTAAACCTGCGCTAAGGCTATTTATCGTACGTCACAAAGGATAAGTGTGATAAAAGTGAACTACATGTTTGCAAAGATATTAGGACCCAAGTTAAGTTTGATGCTGTTTATTATGTTTTGGAAAGCTCTGCACTCTTTCGCCAGAAGTCAAAGCTTTTGAAGCCCGTTCATGAAAAAGAAAAATACACTTTCCCTCAAAGTTTTCTGTTGTCTATCTCTTTAGGCAAGAAGGAAGGTTAGAGTTTTGTCTGTATAGTAAGAAGTCAAACATGAGTTCACACAAATTTGCGAGATGATATTGCGATACAAATAGTAAATATTGACATGACTGTTAAAATGGTATTTATTTGTTGTCGGAGGGTTTTTTTGCCAGACTACTAGTGGAAATAATAAAAGAAAGAAATATCTTACCCCCAAAAAATCCAAATTTGGCATGAAATTAAAACGAGATATAATGATTTTTATAGAACATGATGTAAGTGTTTTGCGCCACTTTTCTCAAGATTAATTATTATTGTCTAATTTAGTACCATAGCATTCAACCAACTCCTTTCGTTGTAGCAATCTGTTACCGTCGGTCTTCAAACAAAAATCGCTCTTTTCATGGCTTTGTGAGAGAAATGTCCGGTGAAACAGCTTATGGCCGCTAAAAACACGAGTTCATTTTATAACCTTGATAACTTCATTAGTAAAACTAGTTAAAACTTGTGTATTTCTTAAGTTGACAATTGAGGGTTTTGCCACGTGCACTCGTTCCAGAACCACAAGCGTACGTCAGAAATGCTTTTCGTGACCTCTTCACGTTTAATATATGAACTTCCACGCACACGCAAGCAAACTACAAGGTCATTGAAGCTTGACATTTATTATATGCAGTGTATGTGAAGCGTTGCTTTGTTCAATGACCCTTCAATCAGTATTTTTTTGCTGAAAAAAAAAACATAAAATTGTGAAAAGTGACTTAAGAGCTTCTTGCAGAAGAATTGGGAAGAATGTTGTTCATGGCATTGTTAGCATTATGTGCGTTTTTGCCTCTGGTCTCGACAGTAACAGTATCAGCAAGGTATGGAAAGATCGAAGGGTTCATATCTCGTTACCCAAATATTTCTGCCCGTTTCAACTCTGTAAACAAGTTTTTAGGTGTACCGTTCGCCTCTCCACCAGTGGGAAAACTCAGGCTGAAACCGCCACAACCACCCAAGGAATGGAAACCCCGCGTTCGTCAAGCGAAGGAGCATGGCGCTCTTTGCATGCAAGGCAAAGGCCTCGAGTTCTTAACCAAGCTTTTCGCCAAAAACTTCTCTTACAGTGAAGATTGCTTGTATCTTGACATCTACACTCCGAACGTAACCTTGAATTTACCGGTGATGGTCTGGATTCACGGGGGAGGCTATGATAGCGGTACCTCGGTCACCTTTCCTGGTGATATTTTGTCTCTACAAGGCGTGGTAGTAGTCGTGATCCAATATCGTCTGGGGGCATTTGGCTTCTTTACAACCGGGGATTCCGCGGCCCTTGGAAACTTTGGAATGTTAGATCAGGTCGAAGCACTGAAGTGGGTCAAAGAAAACATTGACAATTTCGGTGGGGACCCCGGCAAGGTTACCTTATTTGGAGAAAGCGCTGGGGGACTAAGTGTGAGTCTACATCTTTTGTCGCCCCTTTCCAAAGATCTTTTCCATGGGGTCATTGCGGAAAGTGGCGTAGATTTAGCTCCCTTTGCAATTCAACAGCCATCGATTGGTGTCCGAAACAGCAAAGAGGTAGCAGAGAAAGTGAAGTGTCCATCGAGTGATCACAAAGCCATGGTTGGCTGCCTTCAGGAGAAAAAAGCTGCTGATATACAAAAAGCTTCAGACGCAGTTAACTTTCGGTTTATCGATCAGCCGAAATGGGCTCCAGTTGTGGACAAACACTTTCTCCATGACACTCCTCGGAATTTGCGAAAGAAGAAAGATTTCAAAATCGCACCGATCATGATCACCTTTAACAGCGACGAGGCTGCAGGTACTCTTGGCTTGATGGCAAAGCTATCGTTTGGGCTGACGGAGAGTGTGGACAATGGAGTGAGTCCGACGTTCTTCAAGACCTTCCTCACAAAACTCGCTAGCGCACGAATCAAGGAGTAAGTTTACACCTTATGTTTTTCTACAAAAGAGAATGTTTTTAACTCTGAAAATGCAATCCTAAATCATTTTCCGTTTTATCTCTTGTTCAAATGCACACGCCAACTAATCTAATAAAACTCAAAAATACCCTTCCAATTCCCACCCAATTCTCTACTACTACATTCAACAAGCCTTTCTTCCAAATATCTCATCTCATAAATGGTGAGGCAGAAAAGTTCAAAACAAAGGCAAAGACAATAACAGTAGAACGGTTAAGATCCGTAAATGTTTCCTGTGATTGGACATCAAATTTCCTCGCTCATCGACTTATTCAAGATCAGACTCTTCGCTATTTTTAAGAAACTCATTCACCCACTCCCCATCTGCTATTAAAATATGCTGTGACTGTGTACTCTGACCTCTAACCTCCCAATAGACTCATCTGGACGCTACTGAAAATTAACAGTGACGTTCGGATCAGTCAGTCTTTTCCACAACAACGCGCGTGCCCCGCGCCCTTTTTGGCTTAGTTCTAAGTCACATGACAGTGGCACTGAATTAAACCTTTTCCCGCCAAAAGTTTCTGTTTCGGTCACAGTGCGAAATAAGTGATGTCTTCAAAGGGAAACAAAAAAATGCACGTGATTGCTACTGAATTCGATCCACTATATAGTTAATTAACTAGTAATAACCAAAGGTTAATGGAGTGCTTGCTACAACGATCATAGGTCAAAATCACTGTGCTTTGCATAAGTTTCACACTAGAGAAAGTCAAGACACGCGTCATCAGATTACGATCGAGTGATAGAAGGTCCAAACGCGCGTGATGATATTGCCTTCTGCGCATTCCATTCATTCTTAGTGGAGGGGCAAACGAATGCTGGCTACATACATGCGACACATGCGTAATAACAACCTCCTCTTGTCGCCTGCAATGAGTCTGGTGTCTATTCTCGTAAGCTGAAAAAAGCTCTAAAAAAAATAACTTTCTGAAAGTTTTATTTTCACATATATTATTCTAGAGCAAAGACAGCTGACCTTATAACCGATGCGCTGGAGTTTATGTACACCCCATGGCCTGACAGCAGCAATGTTTACGCACTCCGAAGCCAACTTGTGAACGTTCTTAGTGATTTAATGTTCTTCGCACCAAGTCATGAGGTCGCCGCCATTCAAAGCCAAGTTTCTCCAGTTTACATGTTCGAATTTGCCCACCATTCAAAGGTGAGTTTTGGATCGGAGTGGATGGGTGTGGTCCATGCCAACAACATTATGTACGACTTTGGAGTCCCATTACTTCCGAATTCGCCATTCAATTACGACGCGGCCGACAGAAACGTGAGCTTGTTTATCATGGCCTTGTACGCAAACTTTGCCGGAACGGGTGATCCGACACCACAACCAGTGAGCGGTGTTACGCTGGAGAAGTTTAACTCTAGCCACAGAACTTATCTGAAGGTTCAAGTCAGTCCCAAGATGGCGGCATCGTTTTATCCTCGAAGAATGTCGTTTTGGAATGACTATTATCCCAAACTGGAGCAAGTGAAGTTTGATGATGAGAAAAAGCACTCAAGCGGAGCTAGCGTTGGCGTCAGCTTGGGACTGTTTGTTTTTATCATAACAGTCCTTATTAACTACCCCGTTCTTTAACCATGCATTCTCAGAATCGAATAGCTATACTTACCAGCATTTCCTGTAACTGGAATCGTGTTCCTTGACTGCAATATTGTTTTGCAGTATTTAAAGATAATCTTTTCAACCTTACTCTTGCATCAGTTCAATTTTTCCTCTTGCAATCACGCCACTTTTGACGTAGGGCTAAACTGGTTATGTCATAGTGACTTCCATATTCCATATAATTTTGATTATTCGCGCATTCTCAGTAACCTTTTCCCTCACTTGGAACCCTAGAAGAAATATGATCATTAAATGATTCAGTCAAAGAAAAAAAGGCATTATCGGTTATTGGTCATTTTTCGACAAAGTAGTTTAACTCGAAAAGTTGGCTCGGTCAATGTTTTCAAGTTGCAATACGGTTGTGTGTTTCAACTTTGAAAGCCTAACCTGTGTTGAGCTCAATAAGATAGTAAATGTTTACTAGAGGTAATCATTGATTACGAATCCGCGTTCGTCACTAAACGAAATCGAGTCGAAAGGTGTCTAGTTTCCGGGCCGGGATGCCCTTGATAAAATTAATAGGGGCGGCTAGTCGGCAGTCGCCCGTCATAGGAGGGGAGGGTGCGGCTACACGGAGGCAAGCAAATTTCTGCCTTTATGCCACAGGAACACCGGATTAGGATGCGTTCTGACGAACGCGATTATGGGATATGGAGTTGCTGATCTGTGACGACAGTCGCATCCATTTTTCTTTCACAGAAAAGCGAAAAGTCGCGTTTTTGCTCGTCCCATCTTACCAAGGTATGATCTAACATCATAAATAGCTGGCTTTTCGAGCTCTTTCAACTGATTTTGAGGGTATTATTCGCTTAGGGTCTTAAGTCCTCGTTTTCTACCCTTTACACACCCAAACGTACCTGCAAAAAGTCGTCATTACAGCCGACTCAGTGCATACGAGAAGTTTCAGAATGTTTTCACTAAATTTGATATCTTAGGGTGGGTTAAAAATAAGGCGAGAGACAGTTTTGCGGCCCACACAATGGGGAAAAAATTCGCAATGTAACTAACGAGGATACCCGACTCACGTAGTGATCTTTGTATTCCGGGAGGTGCAGTACATGGGCGGATTTTGAGGTGGGCCGAGGTGGCTGCGGCCACCCCTTTTCCTTTGAAATTTTGTATTATTTTTACAGAATTCTGTCTCAGGAAAATAAAAAGTATCTAGAGTAGAGCTGTCCCGGCCACCCTTTTCTGAATTCTCTGGATCCACCCATGCAGTATAACAATAGAAAATTTAGCTAACAAATTCCTCCAGATAGGGTTGAGCGAGCCCCGCGGTGGACTGGGCACTGGCGCCTTACTTGGCCTATAGAACCATAGGACCGGCATGTGCCGCTGAACAAGGTATGATTTTCAGCGTCTCGAGGCTTGTTCAGCTTCTTGAACAGTGTTTTTTTTAAACCGGAACCCTTAAATTTTTTAAAAGAGTGTGAAGGTTGGCGATGAGCCTTCTACAGATGTCTCTACATGTGTGTTACCAAAAAGTTTCTCCAAAACATCTTTTAGTTTTCTGTGATGCTAGTTTTGTAATACCATGTATACAGTGTATATACTGTATTTATTCGAATAAGCGCCCAACCTCGAATTAGCGCCCACTTCGAATAAGCGCCCATCCTAAAGGCAAAAAAAGTTAATAAGCGCCCAGCCTCGAATAAGCGCCCACCTCGAATAAGCGCCTACTCTCAAGGTCCAAAAATTTAATAAGCGCCCAGGGCGGTTAATCGAATAAATACGGTAAAACTTCTTAATTCTGAATGGGAAACAAAGTGAATTAGGGTCATGAAAATAGATTTCTTGTCCCAAACAGGTTAGCAAAATTAACGATGTTTGTACTAAACAAGGTGAAGGCTTCAGCGACATCCACCCTCACTCCAGGGGATTTGGGATACCCGGCCCAAAATAACAGATAGCAGCAGGAACGCAGCAAAATCCGTTTGAATGGTACCAGCTACTACATGTACTTGGATAAGTAGAATTGTGCGAAGTATATGAGCGGCAAACTGATCGTAAAATGACAGGTAAGTTGATAAACTGGCCAAATGGGTATTGACGTAAGACCTGAAGATTTTTTGTTTTCCCCATACCCCTCCCTCCTTCCTCCCCTTTAGATCCATGAGGACACAATTTTCCAAAATAAATAAGATACATTTCACTTTGATTAACAACTTGTATGTTACCAGGGCTCCTGACTTGCGGCGACTTGGGAATTTGGGTACTTTATTGTCCATATTTTTAGCCCTCGGAGCAGAAACCTGGAAATGACTGCGCGTTCACTTCAGACCGAGTAGGACTTGTGAGAGCTTTTCGCGGGATTTCTGTTTGTTTGGAAGAAGAAGATCGAAGGAACAGCGTCGAAAGGTAGGTAGCGATTGTCGCTTGTAAGCTATTTATTTTTACCTTATTATAGCTGTACCGCTCCCTTGTTGTTTTTTTATTACGGTTCGTGAACAGTTTTTCAGCTTGTGTTTCTGCATGTAGGAAAGCACCCTCTTCAGAGATCTCATACGTCCTTCCGAATGATGTACGCAATGTCAATTTCCGTTCTTCCCTTTGACAATCAGACACTTAACTGTGTTCATGTAATTCTTGGTAGAGTAGCTATGAATAACTTATAAATTTCTTATAACAGTGGAGGTTTTGTAGTAGTATTCCGTACTTATAGTATCGGGTGTACCGTGTTTTGAAGTGTCGAGTTGAGTGCGGGGCTCAGTGTGCAAAAAATGTCATTGAAAAAACTGTAACACCTATGTACTTCCACACATCACCATGCACAGCTGGATAGTATTCTGTATTCTGAAGGAAAAACAAACTTTAACCTTCTAGAAAGGAAATCCTGAAATTAGATTTGGATTTGGTCAATGTTAACAAAAGTCATGTTACCTCTGCTTTTGTAAGGAGTGCATGGCAGCTTTAGTAGTTGTAGTGAGAACAACGCCCTAAGAATCTGTCATCCTCCAGACTTGATCTCCTTCAACAATGCTGGTATTACTAAAATCCTGCAGAATTTAAATCCCAAAAAAGCTGTGGTCCTGATGCAATACTTTCCTAGTCCCTGTACGGCGTTTTAATCCCAGGCCTTCTCTGTCAATTCACTTCGGTGATGTATCCAAGATGAAAGGGTGTAAAACTTCTTCTTCACTTCTTTGCTTGGACCACGTGACCTAAAATGAATTGGTCGTGCAGAATAATGAGGCTTACGGACTAGGCAAATTCATATTCCTTGCTACAACTGTACGTTTGTAAAGAAACAGCAAGTCATAATTGTTTGCTCCTTATCTGTCTCATATGTTTTCTTTAAGTCTACAATCTGGCAAGCTACCGGCTGACTGGCTAAATGGCCAAGAGTTACTGAGGCCCTACCAGGGGGGGGGTCCCATGTCGCCCTCTGAATTTCAAAACATCTTGTGTCTGTGTTTATAAATGCTTTTGTTTATTGTCCGCTTTGCTGTCATTGTCGCTATTTGGCCGAGAGAGGTTGTCTCTTGTCACGATTTCATTTTACACACTGTCGCTACTTTTTGGGCCATGTCGCTTGTCGGGATTCACCCTGGCAGGGCCTCGTTACTAAATTACGAATTCTATTAAGAATATCTCAACTTGATATTAAATACCATATTTTCTGGATGATAACTCAGTGTAAAATGTAATTTCCATATTTGTTCAAGCTTTTCTTAATAGGGAGATGCCATCTAAACAAGCTGGGACTATGTCTTCCCTAGAAACAGATAATGGTGTTGTGAACCTTTCAAGTGAGTACCATTCTGTAATACTAACCTCACTAATTGACTTTGAGGTCAGTACTGTAGGTTACAGATCAAGCTTTTTCTGCCCAATTTATGGCCCAAGCGCAAAGCACACGGGCCACAAACCTTGGAAGAACAAGCAAGGTTGCTATAGTTGAAGACAGCCTGAAAGGAATTGCTTTAAAAATTAATTTGAAGAATTACGGAGATCGAGGATGGCATTATCCGTCAAGGCCGTAGGCCAAGGCGGGTAACACCCTCTGAGATCTGCATAATTCTTCATAAAAATTATGATACGAAAGCTGAATTCAATAATTGTTTTATTATTCATTCAAAATAATTCCTAGTTTAAAAACAATTTAAGCCAAAACATGCTTACCTCCATCGATGTTAAGTTCATGTTCGATAGTGCATGGTTAGGGTTGTTCAGCTCCGTAAATATTTCTCCAAATAGCAGATGTCGCCCTTCAAGTTGTCTTCTATTATTAAGCCTAGTTCTTACTCTTGAAACAAGTAAAATGTCCGCCATTTTTGTTTTGACAACCAAATCAACTCAACCTCGTGCCCAGGTCTTCTTGGTTAATGTTGCATTAACCTGCAAGAAAGCTGCACTTTTGGTGTTATCGGTTGATTAATCGCAAAATTCTTCCAAATTTGATCATCAGTGGCTGGTTATGGTGAATTATGCATGTGCTTTTAGCCAATAAGAATCAGGGAGATATTTTGAATGAATGATAATGAACATTAATTGTCACAAATTGCAGTTGAAACAAATTTTGCAATTTACAGTCTGTACAGTAAAATACTGACTAAACATACAGTCATTGTAGTGTGAGTACCAGCTGAGAAAGATAATCATAGTAATCTTTATTATTCTATTGTCTCCTAATTTTTTGAAGTCATTCTGCTGCAAGTTCATTTAATGGGTTACTCCAGAAAAGATTCATGGACCTACATGTATGTACTATATAATCTGCTAAAAGGGAGGACCTCTTGTTTCAGATCGTGGTTTCAAGAAGATAGAGCGTTTATCCAAAGGCATTTCACCTTGTACTCTTCTGTTAAGTAACAATGAAATCTCAAAGGTGGAGAATTTACAATACTTCGCACATTTGCAACAGGTACTTGAATAGAGTTATGTTTATAATTAAAGCTTACCAATTAGCTGACCAATTCTTCAATGACCTGCTCCCAGTTGGCTTGTTAGCTTAATTGGTAGAGCGCTGCACCGCTATCGCAGAGGTCAAGGGTTCAAATCCCGTACAAGCCTGAATTTTTTTTCAGGCTTTCTTATTGCAATGGCATAAGTTGCGTTTACAACTGTGATAATCTCCCTTTAAAGAATTCTTCACTCTGCAGTTCACATATAGGATTTTCATATATTCATAATTTCATGATCAGCATTTTGTTATAAAGAACAACTGGTGCTTTGGTCAGTTTTTAAAATGATTGATTAACCCATTCGCTCCTGGAGATTTTGCCGAAAAACGCGTTTTGAAGCTAGTCGAGTGGTTTTCTGGTCACTGTCGTGCTATAAAGGGCTAAAACTTACCACAAACCGGTTTACAGGTCGTACACTTGGCGACCTTCTGGTCCAGATGCAAAACATCAGCTTGCGAAGTTCGGGCATACGCAGAAAGCAAAATTTCGAGATAGGTTTTGGGTTTAAAAGTGACACAGCAGTCTTGACTTTTACTTTTCGCTTTTTCTTCTCCCTTCTTTTTTCGCTTTTCTTGCCTCATTTTTTTTTCTCTTGCTGGGCATTTAGTAGGCTTCATTTTGGTGGGAAGAGTTTTTAGGAAAGCTTTTAGGATCTTAGGATTAGGTGAAAGGAAAGGTAGGTGGGCAATGGAACAAGATTTTCATGGAGATTTTCAGGTCAAGGTCACGTGGTTTTTTGCTTCTTTCTCCGGTGTCCTTGACTGAATTTATGCTCATTCTGGTATTGTTTGAAAGATCTCTTCACTCTACACAAGTTAGCGAAGAAAGTTGTCCTTGACCGTTAAAACTGATGACGTCACAAAGGGTAGAAAGGACCTGGATCCGCACGGGCGGTTACGGGCGGTTCAGGGGCGAATGGGTTAAGTTTAACTTCCAAGCCAATTACAATAGGACTGCACAAGTGTCTAAAATGATAGGGATTTAAATCTGCTTTTTTTGTTAGCTGTCATTAGCTGGAAACCACATTGTTGATATGAGAGGTATTAGTGCAGCCCAAGGATTGCGAGTTCTGGATCTCAGTAACAATAGCATTGTATGCATTGAAGGTATTGTTTTCGTGGAGTGCAATGAATGATTTTCCAGTAATCGGAGACCCAGTTATGTGCACAGGATTCTGGGATCAGCAGGGGGCAAATATTGCAAGTCGCTTAAAAGAATTGTACAGCTTAAAGTTTTTTTCTCCGTTAAAAGCAATCCTTTACCTTACACAAGAAAGAGTGCTTATCGATAGAATTTATTGCATTAATCACACAGAAACTTACAATCTCAGCGCAGCAACATTAGTCACATTTGCTTTGCACAAAATTATGACAAAAATGCGTTATTCTTTCTCCAGTTACTGGAAAATCATTCATTTGTTTGGAGGAATCAAAAACGGATTGCGATCTAATCTTAATTCAAGTCCTAACAAATTAAAGTTGTTCACAAAATCTGAAAATTATTTTCCACGCATGTCTTCCTGATGGACTGATTAAAATATTGAACTTCAAAATGTAGACTGTTTACATGACTGTGATGCTTGTTTGTTTTCGTGGCTCCTCTCACAGGACACAAGGGCAATATTGTAACCTCCATTTGCAACTTGCAAGGAAATACTTAGGCTTTTTTAAAAAAACATTGGTTTATAAAGGCATTTATATTTTTTGGAAATTATTGCCAAATTACATTGTAACAAGTGGTGGTAGCAAGTAATTTGGTTTGTTTTTGGTTTGAAGGTATAAGGTCACTGAGATATCTGGAATGGCTCAACCTTTCTGGCAACAGCATTGAGGTAAACTGCAATTTTAGTGGGCTTTATTTTTATTATATCAATTTTAGTTGATATTTACTTTTTCCTTACTTTGTTTTGCAGGAAATTGAAAACCTTGATGAGAATACTAACTTGACTCATCTGGATTTGTCAGACAATAGGTAATTATATTATCTAAGATGGGAATGGCATCCTTCTTTTTATGATATGGTACTTACTATAGCTTGTTGTGTCATGGTGTACAATGGAGGTAAAAAGAACTTGGGACACTGTGAAAACCCCTTACAAGTCATTATTACAATAGATTAATGACAGTTTTTTTATTGCCCTTGGTTTCATCCCTAAATCATCTCCTGCTGCAATAAAGGACTCATTTCTACCCATTTTGCTCAAAAATCGACATTGTTTGAGGTTAGAGGGAGCTTACGGTAAAATATTTAATTCAAAGGGGACAGACAGCAGATTGTTGCTGCTTGAAATATTTATATGTCGTAACTGTTCATCAGTAGCATGCCTAAAATGTGTGCAATTCCACAATTGGTTTTGGCTCTTTTAAATCCTATATATTATCTTATTGTCTTCTTTTAGTATTGCTGTTATCTCTGGCTTGAGAAACCTCATGAAATTAAAGGTATGTACATTTTTCTTTTTCGGAAGGACCTTAGTATCTTACCATTGCGTCAAGCTAAGTTTAGTGAAAATTGTAAATGGCTGAAATGGTTCAGGAGGTCCATGTTTGTGGTGTTATGACAACAAAAAAGATTAAGACATAAAGCCAAGCTCCACAAAAAAGGGCAAACCTGCACTGCTGCATCTGGTTTGATTATCTCAGCATGCTTCTCCTGACCCCAAATAAAATATTATCTATTGTCCTGTCCTTGCATTACCAACTCCTGTCCCATTTTTCATTGCTTCCTCACTTAAGCACCTTTTCAATTGCAAAATATTAAGCATTTTTGCAAAATTTTCCCTTTCTTCTCCTCTTTCCGTACATCTCCCCTATACTTGCAAGCTCCTAACCACCCCCCCCCCGTCCTACCTCACTGACCCGCCTAGCAACAAGTGTTTCATTGCAGTCAAGTGATTTAATCACAGACCTCTTTGTTGCAAATTCTTTGAGTTAGCTTTTTTATGCTTGTTTTTCTCTTATGTCAACAGATTCTTTTACTTCATGGAAATCTGATATCCTCCCTGGCAGTCATTAAAGAACATTTACCGAGCACTGTCTGCACCTTGTCACTGGCAGATAACGAGATATCAGACCTTAACGAGGTACATATGGGGGTATTTTAGTTATTTTACCGGTAGCTTGTGCAATGACAGAAGACAGTTTTTTCTTCTAATAATAATTATGCTAATACAGTTTGTAGGACTCTTTTTTGCTAATAAAATGCTAACAACATCCCTGGGCCAAGTTGTTGGAAAGAAGATCACAACAACTTTGTATAGTTCAGTGGCAGATCCAGTCCTTCAGATTAGAGGCGGGGAGAAGGGGGGAGCGGTCATCCAGCCCCTGAGATAAGGGGGGAGGTGGTCTAAAAAAATTTGTTTTTGGTATAAAAATATGGGGCGGCCTCCCTTGGACCTGCCACTGTAGTTAACTCGATTGTTACTGACTGGGAATGAAATAACTTGCCACAGATGTTGAAACAAAAGAAAAAAATTCCCAAAATAAGAATGCTGTTAAATATGAAAGAATGAGAGGGATAAGGTGATTATTTTTTTTTCAATAATCATGTTCAGATGCCTGCAAGTTCTCAGTGAGTATTTTGTTCTGGAACACCCCTTTTAGAGCGGTTTTCACTTGACTGTCGTAAAACCAAAACCAAAGTAAATACACTAGCCAACCAAAGGGCGTAGTAAAACCAAAACCAAAACCAAAACCAATCCCTTTCGACAGTCAAGTGAAAACCGCTCTATTTGTCAGTGGAATGCTGAATATGATGGTAGTTAAGCTACATGTACAATGTATGGAAACCTCTGATTATTTAGCAGTTTTTAATTATTTTATTGTAGGTGATGTACCTGTCGTGTCTAGCCAATCTGCAGCAGCTTTCACTTGTGAATAATCCATGTGTGCTTCCCAGTAATGCTTGGAGACTGTATCTTTTGCACGCTTCAGTCAATGAAATAATATATCAATCAGTCAATGTATTCTTGATTAATGCTTGTATGTCATTCAAAACTCATTAATAATTCATAAGCCCATTGACCTATTAAATGGTCGATAATACATAACGTGCAGTCACATTACAAATGTCAAATGTATATCGATAAAACCTCCCCTAATTAGTATGCGGTGTTTTATCAGATATAATAGAGAGATCAGAGACCTTTAGCATCAGGTTTTTCGTGGGAGACTGCAAACTGCAGTTTGCAGTTATGCGTTTGCAGTTTCACGATACCAGGATTTCTTTAGCAAGGCGCTTTAGTGGCAAAAAAACTTGCCACAAGTTACTTACCGCTGGAAGCCCTTTCTGCCATGTGAACGTGAACTGCAAAAGTTTTTCATGAAAAACCTGATGCTAAAGGTCTCTTTTGGGCATCGCGTTTACGGCAAACGGCAAACATGTACCACGTGACGAAAATTCCCCTTTACTTGTGGTTTACTGTTCATTATAACTACACGAAAATAGGTAGATTCATGCCAATTCTATCCACAAGAATTGTTTTAAGCTGCTTTTATCTGCGTATTTCTCATTGTGAAAATTTCACAACTTAAATCTCACGTTTGCCGTTTGCCGTAAACGCGAAGCTTGATAGAGAGACTAAGAGTCACGTTTACAGCAAACCGCAAACGTCAGATTCAAGTTGAGAATTTCTCAGAATTGTGTTTTCACATGACGTCATGGCGGCCATATTTGTGTCCCAAAACAATAAAACGGCGGCCAAGTTTGTGTTCCAAACAAGTCCTGTGGGAGTTGAACTCTTTTCTTATGTAAACGCTTTCTTTTGTTCCAATAAATTTACATAGATGCTGGCCACGTGAGTGAAAACACAGAATAGAAAATAAACAGATAAAAACTGTCCAGAACAATTCTTATGGATAAAACTGGCGTGAAACTACTTATTTTTGTGTCCAAGTAATAAACAGTAAACGACAATTAAGGGAAAAACTTGGTCATGTGGAACAAATTCACGTTTGCAGTTTGGCCTAAACGTGAATCTTACAATCTCTCTAATCTCTCTAATATCTCTAAAATCACTGCCTCTGACTTATGAATATTAATTATCAGCAGAGCAACTGACACAACAAATGGTGGGTGAAAAAAAATGTTCTTTCAAAATAACACACGCACTAAATTAACTATTGTGCAAAATAAAACTTTGTTCTTTCACCAATTTTATAGACTGTTCACAGTCCTCTATTTTTTCGTGAGATGGCGGCCATCTTGATTTTCAAATGTACCGAGGGGGCGGGCGTCGGGGATTATAGCTCTAGGGGAAGGGGAGCTGTGCATGTTGGCCGATTTTATTTGCAAAAATGTCCTTTGATCCGTGTTATAATCACTGTTTCGAAAGGAGATGTTTGTAAACACGCAAAGTCGATGCTAAATGTGTCTGGCATATTTTTCATCGCAAGCGGAGTTTGTTAATTAATGAATAGTAGAGGCGTGAAATTCCTGTCACGTGCCCTGAACGCGAGTCGCAGTGATGTTGGTACAGTTTCTCTCTTGCCTCCTCCAAAACCTAGACTACGAGTAGTCCCCCATTTTTCCTCAGGGATAGTAGAGCGTGCGAAACGCGAGCGCGCGTGAAAATCACCCCACGCGACACTCGCCTTTTCTCGCGTGGGGTGATTTTCACGCGCGCTCGCGTTTCGCACGCTCTACTATCCCTGAGGAAAAATGAAGGACTACTCGTAGTCTATCCAAAACCGTTCCACGCCCCCTAAGTAGATTTGACACTCATCTAAGATGGCCGCCCTCAACGCCAAGTCTTCAATCTCGATGGTCTTACCGAAAAATAGGGGACTATGAACAGTCTACCAAGGTCTACCAATTTTGTCAGCCAAAAGTTTAGTGACTCAGCGGTATTATTGGCTACAGCAGTGTCCAAGTGTTGCACTCAAGACTTGCCAGTTGTAAATACGCAATGCTCGAGTACTGGGTTTTGTTCATACTCGGAGTAAAAAAGCTGTGAAACTAACCAGTGACGTACAACAATTAATACAAAGAAGCCACTGAGAAGTCATCACAACAGAGCTAAGGAAAATAAAAGCTAGAAAACAAAGACAGGTTAAAACAAAGAGGATGACGCGGATTTTTGTTTACCTACCATTCGGCCATTCCAGAAAATGTTTTTTCAAAGACTACTTTTACACTGTACTTGTTGACTTTGGGGTATCATTTTCGATTAACTTCCTCTCCTTCCGCATTTTTAGGCGTCCGAAAAACTCTGGAACAAGACGCCATCTCTTCGGTTAGTGTCATTCGTTGACTGGAAAATTTCTAAACACGTGTGAGAGTGTGATTTTCTTGCATAATAATTTCATATTTTTCCCGTATGCTAATTTCCAACGTTCACAGAAGCGTCATTGTTATCAACTCCATTGAGACACGCTTTTCCAGAAATGTTTTTGAAGTCATTTAATAAACTCCCAGCACGTGTTTTATCGGGTTTAAAATCCCGAGCCGATACTGCTGCTCCTTTATCAGGGCCTGTTTACGTGGAGGTGGGGGACCCCAGATAGGTGAGGTAACACTTTGGCGGGTCACCCCAGCTAACATGTGAACATGATCATATTAAAATGAGAGATCATATGGGTTACCCCACCCAAGCGGGTTATATAATTACCTCACCTACCTGGGGTCCCCCACCTCCATGTAAACAGGCCCTAAAACATTACATAAAATGATGAATTATATCAAAAGCTGCATTAGTGATGGTATTCTTAAACTTTGAAAGATATTCCTGCCTGACTTCCAGTTTTTATTGAGTTCCATATGTTTGCTGTTTTGCAGATTCTTTGTCTAGTGTAATTTTTGAACTTTGGTAGACTTCTGAATGTAGACTACTTCTTAGGTTGTTGCCTGTGAATGTGTGAAATTTAAAAATCAGGAATTTATTCTGTCTCAGGGACATGGCAGTTCATAGACTCGTAAAGCAGAGCGAGTGACTGACCGATTTTTCTTCATCTTGGGTAGTATTCCTGCACAGCTGTTATTTGTGGCAAGACAAAAAACAGCTGCACTGGAGACTAGATTCTTCGCTAAAGTGTCCATGTTTCAGACCGTACCAACAATGATTACCGTTAATAGATACAGTGTATCCCCGTTAAAACGGTCACCAATGGGCCAATGGCCGCATTAACGAGGGTTTTTTTTTACAAGAAAATGTATGACGGTTTTTGCCAGGCGGCCAGGCGGTCTTCAGACCTGGCCTTTAGGCAGAAATTATGTTATCATTACTTATTACTTAGATTAGAGCGCAAACAAAAAAATTCTTCAAATCCATTTAGAATTGGCATATTTCTCTTTCCTTCTTACTCATTTTGAATTGACACGATAAATACATTCATACACTCCCGTAGTTCCCTCGAAAACCATACCCGTTTCGACACCAAAATGGGTAAAGTGTATACCCGTTTTCAGACCAAAAAGGGGCAAAAACCCTACCTGATGGGGGGGTGGGGGGCACATACCTATATAGCGTATACGAGGGAGTACCCCTCGGGATGTAAAAGAACACAATTTTAATTTTATCTTTAACAGTGACTGCTCTATTAGGACCAAAGTGCTGTTTAATTATTCAAATTTTAGTTCGTTGACTTGTTAGCCTATTATAACACCTTGACGCTATTTTAGAGAAATCTGCTATAGACCTTACCTAGTGTATTGTTGTCCTGACCTAAGGAATCTGGACGGACAGTTAGTGAGTCATCAAGAAAGGTCAGCTTAATAACTTGTTACTAAAGGGCGACTTAATTAACTCTCCTCAAACCAGTTACATTGATTATATGTAAAAAAACGATATTTATGTTCTGGTGTGCAGGGAAAAGGAGCAAACACAGGTGATGAATTTGTCGGTGAAATATTGCGCGAGGAATACACCATTATGATATAGGAAGCTGGTTATGTAATGTGCTTATGTAATGTGTTTTGAGTTTAGTGCCTCAGGTGTCGAGATGAGAAAATCGCTCAATTGATCTTTCTCAAGGTGAAACAGTATAGCTTTGAGAGTGTTTTATACTGCGAAGTGTTCACGTTGTTTCCGAGCATGTCTCAATCGTTTCTAGCTAATAAATTATTGTAAGTATGTGGAAGCCTCCATTGATCTGTAATGCGCGCCATCATTTTTCATCTTTTCTTTTTAGAACACTTGCAAGATTACTGAACCAAGCATTTCACCAAATCAGACATCCTTCCCTTGGACAACACCTTCAGCTCGTGTCCATATTGCACCACATTTGCAACGAACCCATTGATTCTACCAAGGTAAACCAGATATTGAAATGAAGCACGGTTAAACGTTATGCCCACATACCAAAGGGATGGAGCCAAATAGCCTCATTACAGAGGTGTCCTTGTTATAGAATGTATCACTTTGCTACAGTGTTTTGGACCAGTAGATCTGCTCTGTAACAGAGAGGTGTCTGCAACTTAGTAGGTTTTAAATAGTGAAAAGCAATCGGAAAAATAAGGGAAATAAAAAAGTGATAATAATTAATTAATGTGTAAAAAAATGAATCACTCAAAAATTTTGATTGAATTCGTGAAAAGATCAAGCCTATTATTTCAGTTATTAACTTATTGAATATGCTCTTTTGTTGAGCATTTGGATTCACATCATTTTATATCATTTTGACACCTAATATAAAGCCAATTAATTCAACATTTACAAAGAAAATCTTGTTCTTGGTCAACGAATGGACTTACAAGACGTAAGCGAACTGACCTAACACGTCAGCGAAACGACTCGTAGGTGAAACGACCGTAAACCATTACACTTGTGTTAATTTGAAATTGACTCGACTACTATCGGGAATAATTTTTATTTGGATTTTTTTGTCCTTTATTGAAATTTCCCACGGTGACTCAATACGGTAACAGGGGATGAAGCAGGAATAAAGTCCTAATTGATATCAACCCCTTCATCACCCACTTATCCCATGAAAGGGTGTACCACACCACCAGCGTCCACGCCCCCTACCCTTTACGAACAGCAGTGTGGGTTCTTTTACATGTACATCCCACAAGAATCAGAACAGTGAAAGAGCTGTGAGACGGGGCGTAAGGTTTTTCGTCCTTATCTTAGAAGAATAGAATGTCTAACCACTTGTGGATGTCACAACAAAGGCAGCACATTCTCCTCAGCTATTTTAATACCCCGGCCGGGGTTTGAACCCGGGACCTCCCGCTCGGCAGACCGGCGCTTATCCAGTAAGCTAACCTGCCGCCAGTCTCACTGACTAAACAATCATCTTTTTCAGATATCTCCAGTACCAGCAAATGATGACCTGGGTAAGTACCGTAACTGTGGATTCATTTTTACCGTTATAATTAAGGATCTGCCTTTTCCCGTGAATCAGAGGTTGAGTAAGTCAGACTGGCCTTGGCTTTTGTTTTAGATGGCGAAAACCTGTTGGAATCTGAAAGCTTCTATATTCCACTACCACTGTCAGATTTGGAGCAGTCGCAGCAAACGCAGTCAGGTGGGTTTTCCAGTACAGACGTCAACGATATTCCCAGTTGGAAGATTCAGATTAGAACACAAACTGTGAAGACAGGGTGGAAATTTGGTGAATAACGGAGGGTATAAATTGCAGGTTGCAGGTCAGAATTTGTTATGTAACCTGCAACCTGCACTTTACACCCTCCGGGTGAACAAAGCTTTTAGAGGGAGAATTTGTCGTTTCAAAAAATGGCTTTACCTTTTTGCAAAAATCTGAGGTATTGCAAAGGGGATACCATCATTCAAGATATAAAGCGCAATAATATTCATTACCGTCTACAATACTCAAATAAAGCTGTTTTGAATTAACCAGCGATCAGCGGCTGATAGTTTATTATAATAATTTCGCTTGGTAACGCGTTCCAGTCATTTAAAGTTCTACAAGAATAACTATGTTTATATGAGAATTATTCTATTACAATGTTCTGTACTCATAATTATGGTCTTTCTTTTGACCCAAGATGATCCAATTATGACAGAAGAAGAAGCTGTCCGCCTTTTGAGTCTAGCAGCAACCATTATCCAAGCTCATGTTCGTGGTTATCTAGTTAGAAAAAAGTTCAACTTCTGTCAGTTTCGACGCCGAAAACATGCAGCAGCCTGTATACAAGCAGCTTGGTAAGAATATTTTGTACTCCTTGTGCACTTCTGTTATGGGGTTTGTCTACCTTCAATACAGCCTTGTTCTCCCTGCCCTTTGCTCAGTACTAGTATAAAATGTACACAACACGGGGCTCGAAGAAACTACCGTCCAGTAGTCTGGGACGAGTAGATTTTAAAGCACACTTGCCCAATAGGCAGGGTCCAAGCAATTCATCCATTAACCGTTTCACTGCCAGAGTGTTTGATAGAGTTTTGTAAGGTGACTCTAACTTTTCAGTATGTGGACGAATTCCTTCGATGTGACCATTCAAATGAAAGCTCTCTGCCTGAACTCACACTTGGTGCTATTTGTTTTCCAAAATGTTACAAAATGAAATTTGGAAATCTGGTCGAAATTTACCTTTGGCTAGATTTGGCAGTGAAAGGGTTAACAAAATCATGAACTAAGACGAGTAGGAAGTGGCTCCGGGTAAGAAATTTGTCAGAGCTGCTTGTCCAAAGGACAAGCTTGAATTGCACATTTTTTGCAAGTTATTCAGAACCTTCGTTTTGCGTCGGAACGATAATATTCGCTTGTCCTAGAAACTTCCAGAAGACTAATTTCATACCTACTATACTACTCATCTGAAAAAATGCAGAAAATAGGAAAGTCATTTATTAGAACTGTGGAATAAAGAATTAATCGAAAGAAAGCCCGTCGAATCGAATTCAGGCTTGTAAGGGATTGGACTGCTTTACCTCTGTGATGCCGATTCAGCCTTCTACCAATTGAACTAACAAGCCAGCTGGGGACTGGTCATTAATTTGGTTCGCTATAAACACGTGAAAAGATGGACATGAAGTAATGACGACATGAAAATCAAACATTAGAACCTTGGGATGAAGAAGTAAAAGCTCAGAAGAATAGTCATTGCAGCATTAGACGCGACTAAATGACCAGCTCTCAGTTGTCTTGTAAGCTCAACTGATAGAGCCGGCGGACTGCGGAAAGTGCGTTCTACTACTGCGATGAACTTCTTTACCTTTTATTTCTCATCCCAAGGTTCGTTTATAACAAGCCAACTAAATGACCAGTCCTCAGCTGGCTCATTAGCTCAAGTGGTAGAGCGCTGTACCGGAATTGCAGAATTCAAGGTTTGAATTCCCTACCAGCCTGAATTTTTTCAGGCTTTCTTTGTGCGCCGCAGAAGTTGCGTCTACCAATGTGATGATCGTGTTTACATTAAAAACTATTTTTCTTTCTTACTTTGCCTTTTACGCCTTATTAGGAGGGGTTACTGTGCTCGAACTAAAGACATCAAAGTTGTGAACATTCGAAATGAATTGCGAGTCCGAAGGCTTATCTCCGTCATAAATAATCTGTGCAGCAAAATGGACAGGTACGAAGGTTAAAGAGCTAATCATAGGTGTAACTAAAGTTAATCCGATAACCAAATCAACAGCCTTGATTCCAGGATCAACAGGCCATTTGCAGCTAATCACTCACGTGGCCACGGTACCAAACCGCCATCCTGGAGAGAAAAGGATTCATTGTGAAAACACAATCAAAGAACTCACGTCAATTAAAATTTAGATTTCCTTTGTTTGTCTTCTCCCGGTGCGTCACTCGCTCTCCAGCATGGCGGTTTTGTACCACGTGAATGACCTGCTCCAAAGGGCCGATTGGACAGTACGCTCTACTTGCGCGCTGCTCATGAATCGATTCTGTTTTCGATTAATTGATAGAGCGGTTTTCACTTGACTGTCGTAAAACCAAAACCAAAGTAAATACACTAGCCAACCAAAGGGCGTAGTAAAACCAAAACCAAAACCAAAACCAATTACTTTCGACAGTCAAGTGAAAACCGCTTTAACGGTCAGAACTTCGTGTCGTTGTAATCATACTCGTCATTAAACGAGTCAGACTCCCGCGGTTTTCTTTAGTCACATGTACATTGTACCATTTCAGGCCAAATTGGACTCCACTCAGTCCTGTTACCATTATGAAACTATTGTGCTTTTGAGAGTATGGCTAAGACCACTTGTTCTGTCGCCTTGATTTTTGGACACGATTGTGACAATTGAGACCATTAAGCCTGCAAAGGCGATCTCTTCCATCGCCCTGATCGTTCCTTATTGCGTCATAATCTTAACGCAGGCTCTATAATTATAGACATCATTTCTTTCCAGGCGACTACGAGTCCATCGTCCGGGTCGTCCATCATTGCCCTCCTATTCATTCGTCAGTATTTTGTATTAAAATAAGTGGACTTAGTTGTTAACGTTTCACTAAGGACACTTCCTAAAATATAGGAATATGCTCCAGAAGTGAAGAGCATTTTCTTTTTTGTAGACAACACGAGGAAGCCATCAAAAGCAGAGAACAGTTGAAGACAGCCATTTATTATCTTTGGTGTCAGGTAAGTTACTGAATTAATAGGCTGATTTAGCAACAGAACGGGAACATCTGTCGATGACTACGCGCGCAAATCAAACAACTGGCTGGACCAGTGGCAGAGCGGCAAATTGGGTACCGGAAATCGAGTTTAGTCCTTTCCGCGCGCTTTCCCGTCGTCAAATGACGTTCCCGTTCTGTTGCTAAATCAGCCTAATCTAATGGTAGTGTACTCCTGATGAAAAGAAATCATATTTACATTGTTAGGACTAAGGCTGTGTTTTCACTATACCCGATAGCTTCTCGTGCCGACACAACACGCTATCCGTTATAGTCTGAATATAGCCAAAGTCTGTGGCGGTATCAAGAACTCGGTCGGTGTCCTAAAGTCAGTAAGGAGGAAAGTATTACCTTTGCTTTGCAAACGGATGGATCAGGCTTGGATGACCATTAAGATATGGCGGCCTCGTTTCCAGTAGGAGACGTAAAAACAGCCAGTCTTGCCGATGATTTAATGAATTATTTTTCAGTTTTTGCATCCCACTGCTTCCATTCTAATTAGTCTAAGGCCACGTTGGGCCATCAGAGGGAGCTCGCGCTGATTCCAAGGTTGGGTGGGGGTCTGCATATTTCACGTCGGGGGCCAATTTAATCATTTACGGTGTAAACGTGTCATTAGTTAACCTGTCTCACCAGCAGTTGGCCATCAGTTGTACAATCAAATTGAAAATCACCCTGAGATAAATACACCAAATCTCGAAATGATAAGCCTTTCAGTGGTTTATTTTTGTGTAAAATCGAGATTGTTTCCTAAATTAAATGTTTACTTTGCCACTTTTACATTCTTCGTAGATCTCAGAACAGAAAAAAGATCAAATGCTTCACCTTCACAAGAAACAAGTTAAGGCAGCAATCACAATTCAGTCTTCGTGGTGAGTATGTACAGACTGTCTTACAGTTGTGGGCTTACTATCATAGCCTTTGAGTGAACGTGAGGTTTGAGGTTCAGGTTGACCTTGTTTTGATAGGAACCTCTTTTCTTTTCTTATAGAAATTATGCTTAAAGGATACAAGTTAGCATAACAACAACATGATTTACATAATAAAGCAGGAAGGATTGTGTCAAAACAACTCCAGCCTCGTTTCCGTCTGTAACTGTAAAATGGGCTATTAAGAGTTGCATCGGGATGCTAAATATGTACGTTGTGTCAAATTGCATTTTGGGACTGTTTTGTTGACGCTATTTCTTCTTTTATTGGCTATCACAAAGTTTCACTGGAGACTGGGTCAAAATCCTTTGGTCCTTCTCTTCAAACAATCCCAAAGTGCAAACTGAATAAAAACCTACTCAGTCCCTCGCGCAACCTCAATAACGCCTCTGAAGACTGGGTCCAAAACCCGTCGGCCCGTCTCTTCAAACAGTCCCACCCATAGTGCAATCTGACACAGATCACCCCTTTTCGCGTCGTAGTTACGCAGGGACGGCTGAGAAATTTGCCAAAAAGCATGATGCATGTGCAGAGTTGTTGTTTTGCAAATTAAACTTGTTACTTTTTCTTCGACGTTCTCGTTACCGTCGCCTTCGTAGTTTCGTACGGCCCCTATTTTGCTCACTCGCGTAAGCGTCTTGAGGAACTGTTCGCAGTCTCGTTTACTAACGTCTTTGTCGGGGATGTACATTGCTTATATTGTGTTGGCATGAGATTATTTGACACTAATTAACTTTTATTTGTTTTTTGGAATTTCAGGAGGGGATTTATGGCCAGAAAGGTAGTTAACGAAAGCAGTAATTAATTCAAAGCAAGATTACAGTGGAATCTCCCGTAAGCGACCACCCAAAATGCAAAGACTGAGTGGTCGCTTATGGGAGGTGGTCGCATACAAGAATCGAACCACAGAAGGTCTCTTCCGAGAAGAGGTCCAGACACATCTACTTTATGGAAGATAATTTCTTGCATGCAGTGTCTAAGTTACGCCATGTGTAGTTCCATGTTGTCATTCGAGTTCTTCGCACCAGTTCCCCATTCGTTAAGAACATGGCCAATTCTTTGTTACATAACGAGAAAGGAAGAAGTGAGTTTTGGCCTTAAAAAAAGAATAGGAAGTTCTTATTTTTTTTTCTTTTATCTTGACACCAAAGAAGATTAAGAGTCTATGAAAACACATCAACTTGTTTGCTTTTTCATCTTTACAGACTTTCCCCAATATTCATAAGAGGAGGAGTGATAAAATGGCTACACTCTTTGCGTTGTGTCACAAGCTACAGACGCAGGTAATAGAAAGTGTAAAGTTTAAAAATGGAAACTAGAAATAACCAAAGATTACGGAGTGTGGGCGACAACGATCGAAGGTCAAAACGCTTTTGTTCCAGCTCTGTGCTTTGTGTAAGTTTCACGTGACAGATGGTCAAAACATAAGGAGTGATAGAAGGTTCCGTTTTTTAACGCGCGTGATCATTTGCGTTCTGTGCATTCCATACATTGTTAGTGGAAGTGCAAACTATTGCTGACGTTTATACATGCGACGCATGCGTAATAACAACGAGGAGTTTAGGATTGCGGGCTCCTCTTGGCCCACAATAAAGTATTGAAGAGGCTATGTCACGTTCTCTGCTGTCTTTTTAAAAAGCTTGAACTTTTTTCGTGTCAGTTGAATTTCAAAAATAATGGTCGAGTTTAAATTATTTAAAACTATTTATTAGCACTGAAACTGTTTCCGGTTGTCTGTTACAACGGATGGCAATGATGGATATGGATTGAAACTTAAAAAAAGTCGGGTCAACGTTTTCAAGTCTTAATGCCATGCCTCCAAAAATCACCAACGAAAGTTATTGTCCGTGTTAACGGGATTTGACTGTGCCAAAAAATCGTGACATTGCTCCTTTAAAGGCGATAACATAGAACAAAAGGTACACTCTTATTTGGTAAGAAGAAACTGTTAACTTGTCCTTCTTGTACCCTGCTCTTGATAAGAAATGTATTTTTCCGAACGTTTTTGTCCAGTTAAAGATAACAAAATCTCTGATAAGCTTAGCTCTCCACGAATCACTAAATTGCACTTTAGCAGGCACCTGAAAACTGTCAGTTGTGGGAAAATACTTTATAAACATGCGATCGGCGGCCCGGACGTGTTTCTGATGGCTTTTTAGATGTCAAACACTATTTGTCATTCTTTCACAGCTCAATATGGTCACATCACAGATCAAGGAAATCACGCAAGGTACTCTTCTTTCTTCTAAGGTTAACTTGAATGAATCTCGCGCCTTTTACCCCATCAATCAAAGGTTAAGGCAACTTCATTGGTGACCATTGATTGGCTAAATGAATGTCGCGCCTTCTACTCGACCAATCAAAGGTTAAGGCAACTTCACTGGTGACCATTGATTGGCTAAATTATTGTCGCGCCTTCTACCCGACTAATCGAAGGTAGAGGCAACTTCATTGGTGACCATTGATTGGCTAAATGAATGTCGCACCTTTTACTCGACTAATCGAAGGTTAAGGCAACTTCATTGGTGACCATTGATTGGCTAAATGAATCTTGCGCCTCCTACCCGACCAATCCAAGGTTGAGGGAACTTCATCGGTGACCATTGATTGGCTAAATAAATCTCGCACCTTTTACTCGACCAAACAAAGGTCAAAGGGACGCCATTCGTGACCTCGCAGGCTTTTTTCCGCGCTTCTCGTTGGCTTCATTAAGAGATTTACATTCAAACCTTTTGTCGTCTGGTTGATGTGTAAAGGTCGTCCTAACTCACCATCCAACTTTTGCAACATCATGTGCAAACCATAAATTCATTTATTATTCAATTTAAAATATTTCTTCTTTTCTGATTGGCTCAAATGCCGCGGCTCATTCTTCATGACCAGGTAGCGTTGACCAAATTTGCGATAAATGGAAAATGACGTCGATAGTACAGCATAAATGCCAGAAAAATGGACGGCAACCGAGAAGCCCGGGGGACCAGGTGGGGCTGTTTTGGTAGAGCAAGGCAAAATGGCGAAACATTTAACACATTTCGCGAAGAAAAAAAGGGCCGAACTTTTGCCTTAAAAGATAGCAATAACGACATGAATATAACTTGAAGGCTGACATCTGGTGTTTGAAGAATACTTGCTGGACTAAGCATCCCCCGGGGGAACTCCCCTATAAAAGTGATGGGGTTGCTCGTCGTACCTCTTAGGGGTTTAGATTTGTGGATTGGAACCGGGTAGGGTAGTAAAACCTAAAATGACTGCTGCCAGAGCTGCTACGCTTTATTAGGATAAAGATTTATGACAATACTTGAGATGAAAGTGTTCGAAAGTTATCTTTATTACTTTGAAAATTTGCAGTGCCCGTTATAAAATTTGTTGTTGCTGACTTGGTACCTCTTAAGGGGTGGAAATGAATTTGAGACACGCCCATAAAACAAGACTCTGGTACCTTTTAGGGGTGTCCTCGAAATTTTCCGACGAGCAGCCCCGTCACTTTTGTAGGGAGTACCTCCCCGGGAAACATCCCTGTGTATCCTGAACTTGTCGGGAAAAAGGCAAAGGGAGACCGGAACGTAACGTTGATCGACGTAAGCGTGTTTTAGCTTGTTTTAAACTAGGAATTATTTTGAATAAATAATAGCGCAATTATAGAATTCAGCTATCGTATGATCTGAAGAATTGTGCAGATCTCCGAGGGTATTATCTGCCGAAGCCGAATGGTATTGCAAAAGAATAAAAAACTTACCAAAGCAAAGGAAATGATATGATTAAGGCAATATTTGATTAACAACAAAAAGACAAAGCTTAGTCATTCGTGTCAGCAATTTGCTACGTAAGTCAAAGCAAGATAAGATATATTTCATCAATTTGAATTAAAAGTAGATAAGAAAATTACACGATTTCAATAATTTCTTATTTCTCCGGATTTTTAAGTCTGTGGACCAATCCTCTGTTGTGCCCGTTCAAGTGACGGCAACACTTTTGGGTCGTACCGTAAATCTTCTCTGTTAAAAATAAACAAAATTATAATTATTTTTTAAAATTTCCTACTGTATTTAGGAAGTGAAGAAGATATTAAAAGGCTCATAAAAAACGTTTGGTCTTTCGCAGGTGAAAAACAGAACAAGGAAACCCAAATGTTCTCGGATCGGGGAGAACCGTGGGCAGATACCATTGCAACTTTAACTGGCAAAGTGAATAGTACTGGTATTTCCACTGGTCCTCGGTTGGTTACAGAAGAAGACTCAGACTCTGAAGACGACGTATTGGAGATATCATCAACTGATCAAGTAAACCAAGGAAATTTTAATATCCAATTGACCAGTCTTCATGCGAACGACATGAAGGTGAAAGAACCTTTCTCTTCAAGTCTTGAATTCGAAGAGGACACTAAAGCAATGGAGACTTTATCGCAGTTTGATGATGCAGAGGGTCGTGTGAGTGGTGATGTTGTATTGCCTTTTGGACCTGTGGTTGCTGAAATGAGCGAAGTGGCCCCTTCTGTGTCCAACGTGGAATTTCGCCAAAATGAAATGACTCTTCCTTCATCTATCCACCAGGAGGGACCTGATGACTTTGCAGATGGTGAAAAAGATGAACCCAAAGTAAATGTGACTTTGTCCGAGGGGTCTTGTTATAACACTGAGCACACTGTCCACGTCGAGACACACGAACAGGAAGCTGACATGGAAGGACACTTGAGTGTTGGTATTCCAGAGATAGTTGTTAGCAGTCCTGTTCCAACTGATGATGAAAGTAGTAATGAGGGGTCGGTTAATGACCTGGGTGAAGACAATGGACAAATGGAATCCAAACAACAGAGTATGGAGAAGCAAGCGTTTGTCGAAGTTCCGTCTGAAGATAATCAAGCGAAATCGACGACACAGGTGGCGGAGAATGACAAATATGATAAATGTACGACCACCGATCAAACTGACGGCGAGCAAATGGGTTGGAAATCTCAAAATGGGGATGAGGAAATTCGCCTGCCATTCAGAAGTACAGCAAATGTAGTTTCTTTAAAGCAAGCGAGCGGTGGAGAATATAGCATAGATGTTGCCGGCGAATCAAATCGTGACCCATCCCAGGAAAGTGCGCTGAATTTGGGCGAAAGAGCCAGCAGCTTATTATCGCAGCTGAGGTCTGAAATTGCCAGTATGAAATCCGCCCGCTTGAGTGGCCTCGTGCTTAACATAGCGTCAGATGTTGAAACTGAAGTCATGGAAGAGGAAGTTGTCCAAGAACAGGCTAAAAGTCCTGTAAAACATGATAACATAGCTACAGCCAGTTCAGAATCACAAGAAACTGACCTCGCGGAGATAACACCACACGGTCGTCTCTTATCAGAAGACTGTGAGACGGCTCAGTTTGGGTCACAAGTGTGTGACACAACTCAGACCGCACCACAAGATGTTGCCTTACCTGGACCAGCATTTCAAGTTCAGGAGCGTGACAAATGCCATCTGGACTCGAAAGGGCGTGACACTGAACAGACACCTTTACATGGTTATGACGCAAGTGTACCACCATCAAATGAGCGTGACTCATCGCCACCAGGACCAGTGTCAACAGTGTCATATCGACTACCTCTGTTTGAAGACGTGGATAGCGCATCCACGTCGCTTTCGTTGGATGACCTTATTTCAGACCCCACCATTGAAGGAACTGTGAACCTTCCTTTTGACACTGCTTGTTATGAACGGTTGCAATCTGAATGACGTAATCGATAAGTTGACAGATGCTTTGTAAGAAAAAAAAAACTAAAGTTCTTTTTGCAACGTACCTACCGAAAATTGCAGTCATTTGACTGAAGAGAGGCCAAAAAGCACGTTTCTTACTTCCGATAAGCCCGAAAATCACACAAGGAAAGAAAAAGGAGAAGAAAAAGAGAGATCTTAAGTGGATAAAAAAAAGCAATGGTTGCACTCTTAGTTCTTATATTAGTTATTCTGGAGATAGTTGTTGAACGAATAAAACAGCAGCTTGGCGGAAGAGGTCTATATTGGAAGTAACGTTTTCAAAAATCCAGCTAGATTTATACATCTTTTTTTTGTTAAGTTCTGCTGACAGTTAGATTTTTGTTTTGTTTTTTATTTTGCTTGTCGCGGATGAAAATAGAAAGTACGTATCGTTATCAGCTTGTTTCGGAACCTTTTTTATTACAGTGATAAGCCTCCTCCCCCTTCTCCCCCAGAAAAAAAAAAGAATACTGCTTGCAGCAATTCTGCAGTGCTTTTAATTCTTTAACACAGTTAATTATTGCATGCGAAAAACTACAAATAAGTCGTTTACTAGGCTTCTGGTGTTACAGTTAACCAGCGCTTCTAATTTTATGTAATCAATTTATATTTACCGCTCATGTGCCTCCCAAAGTCTTATTTGCTAGTGAAAACTTCATCTGGAAAGATATGATTTTTCTGAGGCGACGCAATTAGTGAACTATCCAGATGCGTTTGACCTTCCTCGTCCACAAACATCTCTCTCACACAATGGGTAAAGGACGGCAGGGCGATAAGGGAGCTTAACCAAATGCTTTTTGAGCGACGCACGTCATCCGGAAGTCAGGTTCTTTTCATTTTAGAGCACCTTGACGCTACCAAATTTGTATTTCTAAGTGTCTTTACTATTACAGAGGCGATTTGCCCAAAATTTTTGGGCAAAATCGCTGTCGAAAAATGAAAAAAGACCTCTTCCGGTTGACGTGCGTCGCTCAAAAACGTCTTTGCTTAACCTCACTAATAGCTGGTGAGACGCGCTTTTTGCTCTTTCCCATGATGCGTCGCGCTTCGCTTGTTTCGTCACGCGCTGTCTCTCAAATGATCTGTGGAGGAGGCTGCTTAAAGTGTTGTGGCAAACCGCACTATGGGAATGTTTTGCACGAATTTTTACACAGTTTCCCCACAACCTCGCGATAGCTAATAAAAGAAGAAATAGCCTCTACAAAACAGTCCTATAGTTCAGTTCGACAACAATGACCCACTCTCAAGCGCAACCTCTTTGAAAAGGGAGTCAGCGTGGCCGAGTGGCTCGCAATCAGGCGGTCCCGGATTCGAGTCCTGCTCTGGCCACTTGCTGGATTTGTTCTCGGTCATCCCGAGTTCAAATCCTCGGCCAAGTTGTTGCCTCCTGCCAACTGGGGTTTTTAATCCTGTTATGTTGTATTTGAATTATTTGTTTCTAAGCCAGTATTTAAGTGGAGTGCCTGTAAACTAGCTGGATAAGCTAAGTGCACTTTCCACTATAAACAAGCCCTAAACCTTTTAAACCTCGCAATGGGCAATTTGACGCACAGGCAACAAAAACGTGCAACTTGTTTTGCAATATTGTCGCAAAACGGGTTAAATAACGATAGCCTGCGTAGCAGGCGTCGAAAGGGGTAGGGGATAGGGAAAAAGGGAAAAAGGGAGGGGGGTAGGGGAGAGAGGGGAAGGGACGCCTACTATAAGAACCCCCTTTTATTCATTTCTGCGGACGCTGGCGTCCGCAAATTCCTGATTGGCTGAGCCGTAATGATTAACTTATTGGCGTGTATCCTGGCGTGTATTAGTGTGAGGGACAAACATGACGAAGGCATCAAGAAAATGTGTTCTACTGGCATAAGCTTTGGAAGATCAAAATTACTCCAATCATGTAGCAACTTCACGTTAAAACTCGAACTAAAACCAACTGTAACAGCTTGTTTAGCAGGCAGAGATGCTCAGGAGGTTTTGTAAACTGGATTTGTCCATACACCGAGCAGCGATTGAAAGCGATTGCGATTCTTGCCAGACATCTGCAATGCCGATATTCAAAAGACCTCCTTTTCCGCAAAAACATATACCGTCTTGAATGGAGTTTTAAATGGTTTGCTAAGAGAGAGATGAAGCTTTGGTAAAGACTATCCGTTGAGCGTTTTGACAATTGTTTATAATTCTCCTTTACTTTCATTATTCGCGTCTCAGGCTGGCCAGTGTTCTGTTCTTTGTGACCATCACGGTGCTTCATGAGGTTGTAAGATAAAAGGTCTTGTGTATTCACACGAAACTGATGATTCTTTGTCGTAGACTGCGAGCAGTAAAGAAAATAAGAGACTGCTAGTAGTCTATGTTAGTCGTGTTTGCTGCGGGAGCAAGAACAGTAAAAATGTTTCATTTCGCTCGATTATGATATCACTTGATAAAAGCGTCTCAACTTGACAATTTCCGGTAAACAAAGTAATTAAGTTCGGACCATGCTGAGAAGCCCCGTACTTGTGATTGGTCACGTATTGACAGTGACATTATCGGATTAGTTGAGAAAATGGTGGGCGGATTACAAAAAGCCCGGCTCTTGGAGCAGGCGCTCCTTTCCCTTTTCTCTCTTTCGTGCTTTTCTCCCTCCCCCTCCCCCTCTCCTTTTTGCGCCTGCCACGCAGGCTAAATAACGATGTTGCATCGTGTTTTACCACCCACTATTCAAACCTCTCTCGCAACAAAATCAAGTTGTTCCAGGTTGCGAAAAGTTGTTGCAGAAACGTTTTGCAACAAAATCTACATGTTGTGAGTTTTACCAACCCAACTTCCGTGTATGGCGTGACTTCCTTTTCCGCGTAATTTTATCCAATCAGAAGTCAGTATTTACGCAACTTGCAACAACCTGATTGTTGCAAGACAGGTTTGAACGTGGGTGGTAATAAAACGCGCAATGTTGCCAAACAAGTTGCGCGTTTTTGTTGCACCTTGCACCGTAGTTCAAGTGACGTTTTGGTGTTTATCGGTGTGAAGAGGGCTGGGTGGTAGGTGAGGAAAAAGATCGAAGAAGACGTCCGATGAGAAAGTGTCCGGCGATCCTAGAAAAAACAAAGAAATACCAGTCCTGTTGAGTCGCTGTTATGTGGCTATGTCCTTGACATTTTGGTTTGTAGAGCTCTGCGGCGTTGATTGGGAGAAACGGAAAAGGGTGTACGTGCAAGGGAGAAGTAATACGAACCTTGCGAGTCGCCTGTGTCACTGACTAAAAAAACATCATTCTCATATACTTACCTGGCCCCAGTTGCTCAAAAGTTGGATAGCACTATCCACCGCCCGGATAAATAGCTATCCCGTGGATAAGTATTAGGGAAACCAATTGAGCTATCAAGTGGATAGAGATTTATCCGTTGTATACCGCTATATGCATTTTGAGCAACTGGGCCAGGCTTAAGACTCAACATTGGAATCTGGGGTCAAAGTTCTACTAAAAAGATTTAAATAAGACTGTGGAATATGAACCTAGGACAAAAAATGAAGTAGCTGAGAAAATGTGATTTGTATCCCTCCTCGCCCTCCATGAGGACATTCAGCGCCTTCCTATAACCAAGGAATCACTCTGACCTCGTAATAAAATTTGGGAAATTTCGCGAAAAATTTCTCTAACCAAAAGTGATTTCCTCTGGATTTGCGCCATATTTATTGTAATTTTATCGTCATTAACTCGAATCCTCAATAACACAACCCTCTCTGTAAGAAACAATCCCGGAAAAAGGTGCAATCCGTGCAATAAGGTTTTATACGGGGAGGCTCCACCCCGAGGTCCAACCGCTTACCCCTTCATATCCCACATCAGACAGAAACGTTACCTCTTTCATCGGAAGCCTGTCACATAGGCTCCTGCTTTCGTACACCTTGTAGAGTCAAATGGTACCCCCCTCTTTCAACAGTACCCTTTTATTTTTTATTTACCCGAAGCCTGAGCCTGACAACGGGTCCCACATAGGCCATTAGAGGGAGTACCCACGGGCCAAGGGGGAGGGGGGGGGAGAGTGGAGAGGTTAATGTTAATGAAACTGCATTTTATTTTATACTGAAGGATTTTACTCGAGTATTATTCTGCTACTTTGTATTGTTTTGTCTATTATTTTCTTAAAATCTACTGTTTCGTTGCAAACTGTCATTGGGTTTTAAATCGGTATAATTCGTCGTAACAATTCTGATGAGTTCGTTGTTTGAACAGCTTTCAAATTATCACAAATCAATGCTCTACTTCCTAGTTTCAAGTTATTTGTTACATCCTCGAATAACTCGAACCTTGGTAACCTTTTTCTGATTTCCCTCTCGGAGGCTCGAGAATCGGAATTCAACTGTATATAAATTCCTGCATACCCAGTGTGTTAAATTTGACTCGACTCCGACAGTCCAGGATCGTTATCAAATTTGATAACCATGAGACGTCACAACATGTTGGCCATTTCTTTATCCGAGATTTTGTCCGATCTTATTCGGTGTAAACTCGTCAGGTACCCATGGTTCTGTTCGGCAAGGCCAAGGAGCTTCACATGTTTCAAAATGGCAGATGTGTATCACGCGTATTGAAGTAACTTTCCCTCTCATAGTCTAAAGATAAATATACTGACCTGGATTACCTTGTTCTAAAATGGGACTTAATTAAAATGGAAATCCGCGGATTCACAATCAAGTATTCAAACATTAAAGCTAAGAACAAGAAGAATGAAGACCGTGCCCTTCAAAATAAAGCAATGAACTTATGCAAAAGTGTGAACAAAACCCTAGCGACAAAAGAATATTGAACGAGCTTTACCCGACAAAATTGCGCCTTCAAACGATCATGCGACAAAAAACAAAAGGCGCCATTCTTAGGAGCAAAGCTCGGTGGCATGAGTTTGGTGAGCGAACTTCCAGATACTTCTTCAATCTGGAAAGACGAAATCATTAAAAAAACAAACAAACACAAGGCTCAAACTTCGTAACAATCAGGTAACTTGTAATCAGTTTGAGATACTACAAGGACAAAAAACTTTTTTTGAAACTCTTTACAAGTCGCAAAATTCCCAGGATAATCTGCCTGAATCTGATTTATTTAATTTAGAGAATAATGATCCGCTAGATGAAAA